CCCCTACCATTTGATATAAATAAATAAATTCCAACTGGAGTGGCAAGCAGAAACCAGTCAAACAAAGCCTCCCCTCCCCCCCCTAACTCACCCTCATAAAATCAACATTTTTTCGACGATCTGAGTATATAACTCAAAGTAGAACTTTTAAGATAATAATCATAATCGCAGCGCAAAGTAATAACAACCAAGGGCATTTAAGGGCTTTAAATCAATGGCCCTACATTTTAACAAGTTTATAAAAATGTGAAAGCCTAAAGAATAATTTACAATAAATTGTACATTTACTTTCTGGGAAAAATATTCATTTTATTTCCAGGACAAAGCCTACTACTTACTACCATATCTTCCTTTGCAAGAGGCACAAACGTTGATTGGCATAATTTACGATTTTGGACTTTATTGATGAATTTCGTTATAATTTCATGACAATCTAATGCAGATGATGAAATCTCAATGAATATGGCGTGTCGACAGTCCCGACGATTGTAACCACTTTTGTTTTCAGCAACTGGAATCCGTAGATTCATTTCCCTTTCCACGACAACCAATGCATTGTTATCTAAACAAAAAATATTATAAGAATAACCTAAATATAAATCTGAGATGCTAAGAGGGACTCTCATTGACTAAAATCACAGGCCACCATTCGCCTCTTTCCAGGTAACGAATCTCAAAACTGGAATTTTTGAACTTAATATTTCAAAATCGGACTCCATAAAAAAGCTAAAACTCATTGACACCCTGAATGTGCTTTCAATGTCCTTCGGATCTCCTTCTAATTGTTATTTATTTGATTTCTTGCAAGCCGTTTTCAGTTGCTTCCGACAAATAAAAATGCAAAGTGTTTCTACTATCAATGTTAATTTAATGGGGTGTGCGATAGACTCACCTCCACGTGGTGGACCCTGGGCAACGTATATTCATACGGCAAAAAAGTCTATTAACTGGCAGTTGACTTCTCACTTCAAACTACCATCACTCCCACTGTATGTCATTTTCGGCTACTTCACAGTACTCACCTCACCTTTTCTCTGCCTTTGTGTCTGTCTGCCTCTTTTACATTTGTGAATCCCTCTTCCTTTCCCCACCCCTCGACTTTCTGTTACTTTGATGAACCTTCCCTCTGTGAAGCCTTAAGTCAGCTAAATGGCTAATAATAGCTATCAAAACGCATGACATTTGAAACAAATAAATAAATGTGTTTGGGAGAGATGCAGTAGCTTAGGCTCATTCTAATACTCAAAGCCAATACTAATACCTTTCAGTTATTTTTACTATGAATTGCACTCATTCAGTGAGTGCGCATTTGTGTCTAGACCTGCACACTAGTTGATTCCTCTCTTCACCCTACTAGTATTTGCAAGCTACACACTCTTTGGTTCAATTCAAATGCTCTATAAGGTTTTATTTAAATTGGGCTATTTGCGTCCCTGAAGGGAGGTAATAAGCGAGAGCCTCTCCATAATGAGAATCACGCCTTATACTACCATTCTACCCGTCAATTTTAATCAATAAACGAGCATTCATGATGACTATTGACCTAGTGACGACTGATTTTCAGGTGTGCACATTAGTCAGATAAAATTTCTTAATGCTTTCAACAAAAAAAACTGGGCTTCACACCAACGCCACTTCCTTCTCCTTGTGTCCAAGACTTTTGGTGTAAATGATGATATGAAGCCATCCTCATAAATAAAAAACCTTTGATAGCAGCAAAATGTGAAATTTGAACAAAGGCGCAGTGTGTGTGTATGTGTGTGCGTGTGTGTGTATGCGTTGAATACATTCTGACATTACATTCATCAGCTGAAGAAGAAGGAAAAAAGCATTGCACTGCTTTCGAATTTGTCTTTGAAGTCAAAACTGATAGGCCGTGTGCAAAACATCTATCTAGTGTACACGTAGAAACAGCGTGAAAAAAATAAATTTTAATGAATTCAGTCCAATGACCCACTTCCCCTCTTCAAATGCCATTAATGCAACCTCCCTAATCCACCCTCCCGCCTCCCTCCCCCCCCCCCACACTCTTCCAAAAATTATCTTGGGGATAAATTTAACCACCAGAGGCCAGCCACTATATGATTGATTGTGGCTGAGACGAGGAAGTTATCCCAGTACAAAGTGTCTGCCACTAAAGGAGGAGAGGGGGTGGGGGGGGGGGGGGGGGGGGGGGGGGGAGGTGGGTTGTGAAGATGATTAATTTTGCGGATATATCACAAGGTGAGGATACACATTTCCCGAGCCCCATCAATGTTGACATTGATTAATTGATGCTATGAAGGCATTAATCATTACAATAGCATTCACTGTCTATTCTCTCGCATCTGCAACTTAATGACTCCAAAATTTTAACATTTTGGACAACTTTTTTTTCTTGGTTAAGCTTAGTTTGAAATATCATTTGTTTTTTTTCCTGTGAGTGTTAGAGCAAAGTTTTATGGCTAACTGAAGGGGTTTTATTGCCCCCCCCCCTTAACCAATATGCCAATTCTCTGAAATTTGTGATGCCGCAGAAGATAATTATTTCATCTTCTGGAATATTCTTCGACGTTTGAAAATTAAATTTGAAATCGTTTTCTGTCATTGATTGCCATTTGTAAGGCGCTAAATATACCTCCCCCCCCCCTCTCTCTCTCTGTATGTGAATATGCGAAACAGTGATATTTCACAGCTATCATGAAAAAATTCCACTTGCATGAATACATTTAGACATTATAATTAAGAGCTCTATTGAAACGAACCGCAGATTGGATTATTTGCTATTTGCCATCCTAATCGGCGGAGTTTCGAAAGGATAGTCAATTACCCTCATTCAACTATAATAACACACTTGTCAATTTAGTCAAAAATAGCACGAATTAATCAGTCGATTGCACAACATTGGAAGAGTTTGAAAGATTAACATAATGCAATTCCCCCTATTTGTATGTCTAATTAAATGGGCTATTTTATGGGAAAAAGAGACAGAGATTGGAGAGAGCGATGTTATCCACCCGTCAATCAATTATATTATTCAATAACTGCATAGTTATCTAAACGCGCATTCAGCTCAACAATAGCTTGATGGACATTTTGAATTGGCAGAATTACTGCCCAATATACTGTATGCCAATTGTAGTGACGTATGACATTAATTGGATGCGAGTAACCAGATCAAATGCAACTTATCTTATTGTTGTTGAACAACGATTGTTTACATCATTGAATGGATGTTGATGCGGTTTCAAGAAAAGGCATGGAGACTATACTCGCATTTTAGATTGTGGGTTAGCTAACTGCTTGGAGTTCATGTAGAAGCAGAGGCATCGTGCATAGGAGGTAGAGCTTTCAATTCCAACTGCGATGAGGCGAAAGAACTGCGAACTGTGAGAATAGCCTTTCCTGACTTTTGACTTTCTCATTTTAGATTTGCTTCCTTTGGCTAATTTGACCTGTGGCATTTGTTTTAAAGAAGCACTTTCAGTGACTCCGACTGGCTCCCCATCACGTTATTTGAGGGGGAAGTTGAGAAGATCGGAGACATAATTTTTTTATAAATTAATCTATTCAGTTAGGTTGAACTGATGGGTTAGCACATCTTCTATCACGTTGTTCCTCGGGACTTGCTATCTATTGACAAACTACGGTTGATCAAGACTCTGAGCCGCGTTTGTCAGCACTTAGTCAATCTATCCCAGCAGTGGAAACACTAGGTAATAAGTTGTACTTCGAACTTTGGGCTAGTAGAGGTCGCAAGCACCATTGTTGTTAGTACAGTAGTCTAAATCCCAATTATTAAGTTTTTTGGGGAAGAGTTCCATAGGCCAGGCAAAATAGATTTGAAGGACAACGAAACATGCAAAAGCAGGTAGGTCGTGAACTTCATCTGGGTCCCCCAGTAGATCGACTGCGTTTAGTTCGAATTTTCTTTTACAAATTTATTTTATTCACTACTTCAATGCGCATTTAAGTTCCGACCCCTTTTGTGTTAGCTGAAATTAATCAAAGGAGGGTTAGAAGGATGCTATTGGACTCCAAGATTCCGCTCCACTTATCAAGTATGTATAAGACCAAGTGAAGCCATAAAGAACTAGTTATCTCTCTCCAGACGGACGTTGAGAACAGTTATGCTCCTTAACACCAAACGAGGTCATTCTGCTATTCGACTCCCAAAAAAAGAAATTTGCAGGAGTTTCAAGAGACTGACCATGATACGAACTGGTCGCCATGACCAATAGTTCACTCTGTACTCCAGGGAAAAGGATAATGAGATTTGAATCGCTGAGCCACACACTAAGTATCGATAATCAAATACAAATCTAGAGAAATGGCACGTTTACTTTTCTTCCCACGCCTTTGCGATTTCACTCGTTTTTTCCCGACAAGAAAAATAATAACAGAAATTGCACCAGAATCACTTCAAACGAAAATGAATAAGATATCACAAGTAATCATAAACGTTGCTTCCCTTGCAGAGCAACAAGTGGACTCAACTAAAGTAGCTACCTTGACATTGGAATAGACGAAATAATTCAACCTGAAACAAAAAATGATGTTCTGACAGCTGATCCAAAGTCACTAATCCACAAAGCGCAAAAAGGAAGCTAAACAAGACTCAGCAAGTTTATAAACCAGAGAAAAAATATGGCCTTCAATATGTACGTTGCGTTCAAATAACCTTGAACCAGCTCGTCCAAACACAAGCATATATTCAAACGAATTATTAATAAAAGAACTGCCGATAATTCAAAATTACACAGATGACGCCATCATCATCATCAGAGGAGAAGGCCACTATCCGGCGAAATCATCAAGCGTACGTGAAGGAACTAGATGTAAAATTTCATCGTCGTAAAGTGGTTCGAAAAACTTTAGCAATGGCAAAAAAGCGGCATCTTTTTCACCGGAAAAAAATTTGCCTCCAAAGGTAAAAGGGCATGTATATTTCGCCATTTATCAAATCAAACAAACGAATCAGGCAGAAAAATTTAAGCACAAAAGAGCGGGACAGTTTTTCTTCATTTAGCAGGATCAACTTCCATTTCTTCTTCTGCTTCCGGAACTGATGTCCTTATTCTAGCGGGTCCATAGAGCAGAATGTATGCAGAATGATATTCACCACCACCTGAAAGCTTCAAGATATCATCCTCTGTTACCGAGCTAACTTTTGAATCGTTCAATAAAAACCAGTCGCCTAAAAGAAAAGAGCAAAATTCAGTTGATATTTTCCTGAAATTACCTTTACAGAAAATAAAACTAAAGGAATCTTTTCGATGGACTCACCATGGCGTTTTACCCAAGTGGCATAATGACCACTATTGCCACGACCCTTATGGGTTAGTACACCCAGGAGTTGATATTTGCCGGTATTATTCGATCCAAGATCATCGGGGAACCAATAAGGCTCGTACATATCGGGGTCATCGTCTGGATTTGGAGGCTTTACAGTTGCGGCTTTTCCGCGTTTCTTAATTGCATTCTTTTCCTTCTCTTCCATTTCATTCATTTTGGTACGGTATGGATCCATTTTAATTTTCAAATCGTCCGTGCAATGCTCATAGAGATCGAGCGACATTTGAAATTTAATATCTTTCATAATCTGAAAAATCGAAAACAAATAGCTACTAATAGATATTAAATAGCGGGGTGTGTGATAGACTTACCTCCACGTGGTGCACCCTGGGCAACGTATTCTCATACGCAAAAGTCTATTAACCGGCAGTTGACTTCTGACTTCAAACTACAATCACCCCACTGTATGCCATATTCGACCCCTCCCACAGTACTCACCTCACCTCTTTTCTACCTTACCTACCTTCGTCTTTGAAAGACTCATCTTCCCCCCCCCCCTCCCTCCTCTCAACTTTTTTTCAATTTGATGTTCCTTCCATTCTGTGAAGCCTGAAGTCAACTAAAGGGCTAATGATGACCATCAAAACGCCTGCCATTTGATATAATAATAATAATAAGATATTAAATAGCTAGTTTATTTTAG